GAAAATAAAAGATTGAATTAATTCATTTCGTAATAAATTATTATGTTTTATATAAGGAATACTCTCACTGGGAGCACTCCTCTTTAGTTATAACAATATAACAAACCGTTCGATGAAGATTTTTGTTCCATCTGCTCATGGAGCTTTTTTATGAGAGAATGTACACACAGTGAATATTAACTAAAGAAAGTCCTGTTCCTAGTAAAACGCAACATTTTCCAAAACGAACAAATAATCAACCATAAGCAAGCATAGCTTCTTTACTATACAGTTGAATCCTCAGCCTGTTTTTTACTATAGGTACCTCCTATACAATATATTATAAATAAATATGCTTTGTCAAGTAATAAGTAACCAAATACTATAAAGTATAAATAAAATACTACCTAAGGTAGTAAAACCTATAGGTAGTAGGTACTATACTATTTCAAAGAAAAAAAATTTATGAAATTGGAGCACAAAAGTAGTAGGCGCTAAGATTTTAAGTTGAAACATCCATAAGATACTTCTTTGACACCAACGCCATACATCAAAATATCACCCCTGGCTTTATTCAGGGAGTCTTTAAGTGTGTACAAAGTCAGTTGCGGATTAAATCGATAAGCTATCCGGAAAATCTAGGTGAACTGCGCAAAATTATACTTGTTTTGAAGTAAATTTATGTCAATTTTATTTGTTTTGTATTACTTCAAGCTGGTGAAAATTTTAATACTCTGTGGTCCAATATATTCCCTATTTGACTTTGTATAAAGGTATAGAACACCTTCCACCATGCATGAATTTCTTTATGGGAAAATTCATAATGGAATTCAACTCAATTTCAACCCACCTATATAATACTATAGTCTTAATGCCCGTGAATGAGATCGTTTGGTACAAAACCAACCACCCACTATAGAAATGTACAATAATAGCAGAGAAATGATACATACAAGGTAATTAATCTATCATAAGACACTCATTATCTCGAAAAGTATTAACTTTTTCGATATTTGTTTTAAAGAAAACTTTAAAAACATGCAGCTCTGCATTTTTACATTTATGTTCCTTTTGTCATTCTTATTTTTAGGGGTGAAACGAGTACCTAATTTTGATTTTTAAATGGCAACCTATATTAAAAATTTCCATACATAGATAAAATAGTTATTCAAACAAATTTTGTTGTTTCAATTTTAATTTCCGTCAATCCGTTGACAATATATTCAACTTTTAGGTTTATGTCCTACGAGTCTTACGGTAAATTGATCACTCAGTATACCCTCATATTATAAAAAAAATATTGTTTTTTATCATATACCAGCAATTTTTTCGAAGGATTTTCAGTAAATATGATTTCTTTCTTTTTTTTTTTTAATTATTGTGGAATCGTTTAAGCTTTATTTTAAAATCATTTTTAATTTTTACCCTTACATCTATACCTTAAATAAGTATATACTTTTGTTTATTTAAATAAGGAACCCCTATTTTGAGAATACACTCTAATAAAGACCGTTATAACCGTTTAAATTTTAAACCGGAGGAGTAGAGATAGGTAACATAAGGAAGGGAAGTTACGTATCTATATTTAAATGATAAATTGATAACTCTTCCCTACTCCTCTAGTTAAAAATTTAAACGTTTATAACTCATAAACGTTAAATCTGATATTAGTTGTGTGCATTCCAAAATATCTAGAAAAATATTCTGTATTCGAAAAGGTTCAAAAAGGGAGGGGGTCATATTTGGAAAAAAAAATATACAATTTTTAAATTTTTTATGGAAAAAGGATGAAAATTAAAAATAGTTTTAAAATAAGCTTAAACGATTTCGCAATGATTAAAAAAAAAAAACCGTCCTAGGAAAATGGGGATGGGTGCAACCACTGGTATAGATAATTGAATGTATACCTTTAAGCAACAATAAACCATTGCTAACGAAAAACGATTCAGAGCGGAGTTCAGTTGTTAGTGATGCTTTGTTAACAATATAATAATGTCATATTATGGTAAAATAATGGTAATTACGTATGCATTATATTAGATTTTCATTCTATTTTTATTGCATTATATTTTTTAATAATATTTGTTTAATGTACCGATTTTTCCGCGTTTCCTACGTTTTAACGAAAACTCTTGGGAAAATTGAAAAAGTGCTATTATTATAAATCGAAGCCAAATCGCTCGTGTAAAATTTGTTCACAGAAAAAAAGCCAACTTAATTTTAACTAATACCTGTATTTCGTACATTTTCCCGTTTTTCCTCCATTCCAATGTTTTTCGGTTTTTCACATTTTATGAGAAAACTTCTGGGAAAATTAAAGAATTACTTTTATAAAGTACCTTTCTAGTCAGATTTCCATTCAGAAAAGTTGCTACACTTAAAACTCGGAGCAAGATTTCTGGTAGAAAAGTTCCGCACAGATAAAAAAAAATAAACATCTTTTTAAAACCATAAGCTTCTTCGCTCCACTCAACACCAAAAACAGAAATCAAATTAACTAAAAGAGAAAATTGCTGGTTCATAATAAAAAAAAGTCACCTTGTATACATTACCTTGTTTATATTTATTGTCTGTTATATAACATACGTTATGTACATAAAAGATAATATATTTTTCTTGTGGGAGGGGGGGGGATTCATCAAAATCCACGTGAATTCTAAAATATAGGAAACCTAGTTTTAAATTGAAGATTGAAAAAAATGTATTATATAAAATACGAACGTTTAATATTATATTTATTATTGGATTCGATCGGCTGCGTGATGGTAAAATGTAAAAAAAAGAAATTAAACATTATGATTCTGATAAATTATTACGCCCATAAATATTTAATTAATAGTTATAGTCGAGTAAAAGTTTCTTTTATGTATAGCAAAAGTATACCAATAAACTATAAGTAAAATATAATAACCAGTTAGGCGAATACCGTAAATAATTCAACGGGATAATAATTGCATGAGTGTTGGAATTAATATAATGAACGAAAATTGTCAGCTCGCTTAAACATTAAACACACCATATATGGAATTCTTTTTTTTTAAAAAATTCCAAATAAATTATGAAAAGAAAAATAATTGTTTATCATTGTAGAGTTGGAGTGGGTCTTTAAAACAATTAATATCGATGACTAATTAATAAGTATATTGTATGGCAAAAAAACTGTACGTACCAGTTATAATATTATTTTACCTACCCAAATAACATGTTTATTTGACTTCGAGGTTTCTAGTTAAATAGTTTAATTATTCTATGGATTAATGTGATGATGATTTTTCAATTTTTAAATATCATAGCTATTAGAATACTAAAAATAGTACAGTGACCAAACAACCGCGAACGACGTATTCAATTCGAATAGTGTTTCAAAAATAAACACAGTCAAAATTCAAATTAAAAGAAAATGTATATAATATATTTTTGTGGTCGTTAAATTCAATAGTTTTTTAACTTCCCCCTTGAAACGAGGGATGAAGTAGTCATTAATTTTAATTTTAGTTGATTTTATGTATAATACATTGAGTCATGTTTTTCAGGTTGATAAATTCAAATTAAATACTAGTTTTTGATTCTCCCTTTAAAAGGGTTGATAAATAGATGTCACTTAAAATGTTTAACATAGTTTACGCGTAAGTATAAATAATTAATAATCATTAGAGTCTGGATTTAAATGCACTAAAATTCATCGAAAAATGCTGTAAAAAAAAGCCAAAAATGCATTTTACTACGAAAATGCTTTTAAAAGGATGACATATACATTTTACAACTTATTGTGTTAATGGGTAATTTATAATATTTTTATATGAAAAATGAAAAATTTAATTTGTGACTAGCGACAATAGTATCAACTGAAGAGCTGTATTTGACTGATTCATTGAAAAACACGAAAAACATGGGTAATATTTTTAATTATCTAAATTTAAATTATTAGGTCGTATCATAGATTAAGATATATACCAAGTATATATTTAATAGATGGACGTATTATGTGCAAATACTACAATATAATATTATACTCGTACATTGTACAAATACAGAATAAAAAAAAAAACCTGTCCTAAGATAATGGGGATGGGTGCAACTACTGTTGTAGATAATTGAATGTATACCGTTAAGCAACAATAAACCATTGCTAACGAAAAACGATTCAGAGCGGAGTTCAGTTGATAGTGATGTTTTGTTAACAATATAAATGGCACATTATGATAAAATAATTAAATATACTCTATATATTCTCTTTAGTAATATTTGTTTGATGTTGAACAAATTTCCCTGGTTATCCTATATTTTTTCCAATTTTCCACATTTTCTGAGAAAACTGGAGAAAATCGAAAAACGACCTCAATAAAGTTTCTCCCCGGTGAAATTTCCTTTTAGAAGAATTGTTATCATTGTAAGTTGGAGCAAAATTGCTGGTAGAAAAGTTGTCCACAGGAATAGAAAAAACCGTAATATTTTTAACTAATAATTTCTTACATTTTCCATTTTTTTCGGTCTTTCACATTTGATGAGAAAACTGTTGAAAAAATTAAAAAAAGAAAACCTCTTTCAAGTACCTCCCTACACTGATTAACTATCATAAAAGACACTACGAATAAAAATCGGAGCATATCTTTTGGTAGAAAAGTTGTCCACAGAAATAAAAATAAAATATAATAAACATCTTTGTAATACCATAAGCTACTTCGCTCCATTTAGAATACAAAATAATCAAAGAATAATCTAAACATGAAAAAAAAAATTAAATGCAATAATAGGTAAAATAAAATTTCCATCTCTGAAGTCTCTGTTACATAAATCAAATTATGTATTTGGAAAACAATGTTTAATTTCAATCAAAAAAGGAAAGATTATAATTGAAATATTTATTTAATAATATAATTAATTTAAACAAGAATAAAATGTTATTACATATTATATTCTTTTAAAAATGTAGATATCATTGAATATATCTCGCAAAGCAGTAACTTAAAGAAAAAATTACTTATTGAATAAATTAATTAATAATTAATGTATTTTAATGCATAATATAGCCAATAGAATACAATGTGTTGTTTTTTGTGTACAATTAGTGAATACCTACAATAAGTATCTCTAGTACTATTGTTTTTATTTAAAAATAGAGTATAATTTGAGTATTTTGTTTGAAAATAGCAAAAAATCTTAAAATAAGTACCATTATACACTATTGTTGTTTAATAATTATAGAACTTTAACTATATATAATTTTTATTAGACTTTTAATATTTTATTTTAAATAAAGGGTTTTGACAGTTGTAGACAAATGGGGATCTTGGCGCGGCCAAATATTTTCACTTTTGAAAACTAATTTCAGAATTCGTTAACATTGTTTTCACGTTCATTGTTTACATACTTATATTAAAACAACATTAAAAAAAATTAATTTAAAAACATATTTAAGAAAAATTAAACTTAATATTTAAAAAATAAATTTCTAATCTCCATTCACATACTTTAATTTGATAATATTTTACATTTTTGGATCTGGATTTTTAAATATTCAAATAATGAAATGTCCATGACCACGTGTCATGAACATAGAATTCTTATATCTAAACAAGAGTTTTATATGTTTTTTATTTTTAAAGGTTTAAAAAGACTATTTTAACACAAACATTGTGCTAGGAACAGCTCCCTTTGAAAAAATAAATAATATAATACATTATTACGCATCGCGCGTGCAATATATAAAGGTTGCATACAAATCGATAATGATTAAGTAGGCCAAACCGTTACATATGATAATATTTTTTTGTGTTATTAAAATATTATATACCTATTTAAAAGATAACATTACAATTTGCATTGTTAGTAAATTTATTTCTATCTTTTGGAATTTAACCGAAATTCTGTATATTATCAAAAATTGTATTTTGAAGGTATATATAAAATTTGAAGTTAGTCGATCTAGTAAAATCTAAAATCCCTTAATAATCCCTTTACACAAAATTTAAACACGTATTCTAAAAGATCGTCTAAGGTTCAGTAGTAGGTGAAAACAGAATTCAGAAACAAACATTTTTCGCCGAGATATTCAAACTCAAATGTACCCAAAATTAAACTACCCAAAAATCGATTTTTAGTTTGTAGAACAAAAATATCATTGTTCTTTGTTTCATATTTTGCTAATTTTTATTGAATCAGTTAGAGCATTTCGAAAATTTTCCCTTCCTAATTATATGTTATTTTAAAATATCTATCATTATATCGAAATAATATTAAATTTATGTAACTTAAATAGACTAATTAAAATGCACATCCCATATCTTGAAAATATAAAAATTTAGATCCCAAAGAGTTAAATATTATCAAATTAAAGTATGTGAATAGAGATAAAAAATTCATTTTTTAAATATTAATAAATTTAATTTTTTTTAAATATGTTTTTAAATTTATTTTTTTTAATATTTTTAAAATATAAGTATGTGAACAAAGAACAATGTGAAATCCATGTGAACGGAGATCTGAAATTAATGTCATGCACTTCCCATATAGTGAAAATATGAAAATTTAGATCCCAAAGAATTAAATATTATCAAATTAAAGTATGTGAATAGAGATAANAATTAGTTTTTAAATGGGAAAGTATCTGTCTGCACCAAGATCCCCATTTTTCTACTACTGTTGACAATTGTATATCGTTTAACTAAACTTTTAATTAACAATGTAAGGTCAATTTAGGAATTTAAAAGGAAATTTGTGTCCTCCAGAATCATTCGATTCGTTTCGTAAAGGTGTGTAATGTTTGTATAGTGCTTTATGTGCCTAGGTGTATTTCCTGGCAATTATCAATTGATAAGTGTAGATTTTATTTCCACGTCATACACACAGCTAGATTTATCTTCTTTTGACGCTGATGACGACACTTCAAGTTCCATATCTGTGAAATAAAAACACACGGCAAGAAACAACTTACTATACTTTATACGGCCTATTAATTAATCTATTATAGCTTACCATAATTATTACTGTCCAGCCGCATTTTTTGCAGGCAATCATTTCTTATCGGCATTTTTGTCTTGGCTACCAAACTGGATCTTTTAGAAAAACTATTTCCCATCGATTGTGCCGAATCTGATTTGACTATTAAATATAAACAGGTATTCATTCAAATGATTATTACACCACCGTGATCAGATGATGATAAATATACGCGTGATAGTCGCTAATAATATGATAGTCATTCACATGCAAGTTGTTCTATACCGTCACCGCGTAAACAATATGAAAATTACTACCATACTAACGGCATCGATGATAAAGAAATTACTTTTTATACCTATGACTAGGTACCGCATGATACCTGCATGATAGTTTTAGTTTTATCCGGAGAATGATGGTTATTATCACAATTAAGTATTACCATGGTCCGGACAATATCCTTAATATGTTTCATGTTAAAGGAAAATAAAGCTAAACTCTTTTAGTTATGAAATATTAAAATTACATTATACAAAATTAACACAAATAATGATACCCAGCTGTTTCATATTAAATTTTAAATTCTTAGTGAAGCGAAGAATTAAATACTTTTACCATATTTTTAAAATTGTGAGCGGCTTTTATTTATGCTGTGTACAATATTCCTATTAGAAATCTTTGCGAAAAGTAAATTTTGTCTAGTTGGTACTTTAGGGAGCATCATTTACTGATTTGCCTAGCAGTTTTTATAATACGTGGGAAAAAATAACGTATGAAAAACGGGAAAACAATGCTTTTATTATTTTCAGTTTTTTTTTTTTTTTTTTGCTGTTGTGATTCAGTTTGAAGTGTCCTTAGAGACATATGAAGTTTGTTTTATCTTTTTAATAATAATATTTATATGTAATGTTGTACTGCATCATTATCACGCATGCTATCAAATCTAGAAATCCGATATGAATACATAATGATAGTGTTGGTAAATTTTTGCTATGGCAATGTTATTTACGCTATAGCAACTATCACGTTTAACTATCGTCATGTGACCACAAACTAATATTTAGTACCTAATTATAATCCATAAGAAAAAATAAAGACGCAAAAATAACAACTCTACCTTGTTATCTATCGTAGGACACTCATTATCTCAGAAAGTATTAATTTTTTTAGAATTTTTAGAACATTTTTGAAATCAGCAACTCGACAATTTGACATGCATGCTATTTTTTGTCACCCTTATTTTCGGGGGTAAAAACTATAATTTATTTTTGATGAGTAAGTATAGCGATGCATTATTGAAACACCGCGCAGCACACCATGCCACCACACAAATAATGCCCTACTACTCTTCCCTGAACCTAACTTAAAAGTTAAATATGCAAAACGGATTGACAAGAATCAAAAATTTCAATGCCAATATATATTTCAAGAAATATTCCATCTATTTTTGGAAATTATATATTCAATATATAACTTTGGGTTTAAAAATTGTTTAGATTGTAATTTAAAAATCAAAATTAAGTAGCTTTTACACCCCGAATAATAAAGGAGACATAAACTAACATAAATGAAAAATTGTAAAGCTGCTTTCTTAATAGTTCTAAAAAAAAAATTTTGAAAAAAGTTTAGACTTTCATGATAACGAACGTACCAATTTAAATAAAACATTCGGTTCGGTACATATCAATATTTGATCAACAAAATACAAAGAAAAACTAGTATATTTTATTCGATATGATTTTTAATTATAACAAATTACCTTTTTTATAAATAGATTTCGATTGAATCTTCGGTGTTAAACTTTGAGGTAGATCGTGTTTATGAAGCGATCTCCCATGAAACAAAAAAACAACATTATCATATGATTGTACAACTATATTGATTTTAAATTTAGAAGAACTTGCTACTTCCCAATTTAAGCGGCAGCGTACAATAAGATTTTCTTGATATTTTTGAAAATATATAGTTTTATAAATTCAAATATATCCTCTAACAGCTCAATGTCATTATCACAAAAATCTATTGTGTAACCATTAAATTATCAAAAATGTACGCAAAAAAATTGTGTTTCACGCAGACAAAACATTCTCGGGCTATAGATTTAACAAAGAACCAAATTTTCAACATAAAAAAGAGAACCTGCACTATGCAACACTGATTTTAAATATTTGATATAGTTATTTATGATATGTAAAAACATATAATTATCAGATTTTACTACAATGACTATTTTTTTATTTGTAGTTGCACTTTTTTATAATGAACATCTTGATTCCTTAATTATGTTAGTTATGTAAAACAATTTTTACTGTCATAAAGCATGCCTTCTTAAAAAAATATACCATGATATATTCCAAACATTCAAAATATTCGTTACCTTGTGTTCATATTGTCGAGTGTCTTTACTTCTTTTAAAATGCGCTTTTGTAGCCTATTTTCTTTTTGGCTTTTTGTGACATGAGCTAAAATGTTCAACCCTTTTAACTCAGGACGATGAAGGTTAAAGAACGAATTTCTTTTCTGTATTCAAAAATCGTTAGTCAGATATGCATAAAATATACATTTTAATAATAGAATATTGCAACAAGAAGTTTACACGGATTTACTACTTTTCAACATAGTGTGCCTAAGTAGGTATATTTTTATCCCACTCACAGTGACAAAATACATGTACATACACAGTGGTGTATTGGGGGAAGTGGTAAGGGGTTGCGAATGTATTGATTTGGAACCCCTGAAATGTCTGCATAAACTAGTTTTTCGTTATTAAAAAAAAAAAAAATTAAAATTGGTAAGTAGGTAATTATTTCATTATTTTATTATGAAAAAAACATATTAGAAAATGATAAAAATGTAATAATATATTATTGATACTCTGCTGATGTAAAAATTATTAATTAAAATTTACAATTCACTGTTTAACTATTATGAATTAAATAAATATAAATCATTTTTTGATATTCAAACTTTTTTCTCGTATTTTTACTTATATAATAATTGATAATACATTTTTACGTAAGTTATGGAATATTTAAAATATTAGGAAATACAATAGACCTCAACAAAATTACATACTTTTGATTTTAAAATAGAACCCCTCCCCTTTTAAACACAGATTTAGTATGCACTTATTTAAGGTATATGGAGTAGAAGTAAAAAATTAAGAATCGTTTTATAATAAAGCTTAAACGATTTCATATTGATTAGAAAAAACAGAAAGCAAATACAATAAAATTCTCTGAGATAATTGCTGGTTCTTGATAAAAAATAATCACTCTGTATATTATGAAATTAAAAACAAATAAGTTATTCATAGTAACTTTCTATCAGCATATTTATTTTTGTTTATAATACATACTATGTTCCTATCAATCCTATCCTAGAATAGTCGAAAAATATATCAGTAGGTACATTTATTAGTTGTTTACTACATACTTAATTGTTTGAATATTAAATTCAACGCAACGAAATAGTTATACAATTTAAAAATAATAATAACAATAAGTAATTCATATAAATAAATAAACGGTAACTATGCGCCATCTAGTGGATTTTTGTTCGATAAGCATTTGCCAAACATCAAATATTCTTCCTCTATCCACATATTATTGTCTTACAAGCGCTATTTAAACATACATTTAACACACACACAAATTAAAAATGATTAGAAATGATGGGCAGCATAGTAACGGTAGAAATAGTGTTTATATCCACCCTACAGATGCGCATTATCGCCAAAGGTATGACCCAACGAATAGTTTTAAATGCCACCAATTAAGTTAATCAAGAGCCCCAAAATTTGTATGGAACGATAGTGTTTAAAACGAACGGACTCAAAGGAATGAGTTCCTTTAGTTCCGTTCACTTTGAGAATTTCCAGGGAACAGATCTGTAAAAGAATATATTAAAATTTCGTTTACCATTTAGGAAACATAAACACGAAACATAAGAAACACGGGCGATTTTTTCTGTTAGGCTAACCTACTTTCCCACTATCCAAACTTATGTGAAATATCTCGTTTATAACAGGTTTACAGAAATCAAAAATTCAACACCAAAGTGATTTCAAATAATACTTCGTCTATTTATACATTTTTCACACAGATTGATAGATAAAGACATTGAGTTAATATTTAAATCATGAATAAATTGGAATTAATAAATTCTAAAACATCATCAGATATATTAATTTTAGACTAACAGAGGAGAAATGGCTAGCTAATAATTCAGAGATATCATTTAAAATGTGAGCGGAAGTCTTGTCCAGAAACTTTGACGTAGGAATATTGGATTTCTAAGATTTAAGATATTGAATTTATATTCCAAAAAGATTTAATATTAACATTAATGTTCTTTTTAATTTTTAGTCTATAAGTGAAGTATCAAGTGAAGTTGTTTTGATAATTGTGTTCACATCCCTTACGTAAATTGGAAAAAATTGAAAAATCTAATAAGGAATTAGGAATTTGATATTTCTTATGCTTATGGGTTAGAATCTATAGTTGTATATTTCCTACAAACCTATTACTCTAAATCTAATACTATATTTTAACACGCATTATTATAGTTGTAATTTGTAATCAATAATGTCAATAGCATCTTTGAACACCTAACTGAATATATTATTTAATATTATCAAAATTGTAAATAAATATTTACGGCCACATTTTTAAAGTAAGAAACAATTAAAATCAAGTATAATATTAGTTTTCGTTTTTGAAACGAGTTATTTAGCCATTGAGATGGTCGACCGGTGGCTCTTTTTATCAAACCTCCGATAAATTTTACTTGAAATCGAAAAAAAAATAACCACGAATTGTTTTATCTAACATAGTTATAGTTTCAAAAATAAATTATGTATTTTACCGTAATGGCGCTTTCGTTATTGGTTCTGTGCATATTTCGTATCGATATTGTCGATAGACCATCCATTACTAACTTTTGATTGATTTTTAATTCTTGCCCGTCGTACATCGGTATAATTTTCGGAATCAGCCCACTTGCAGTCATGTATTTCTACAGTAAATATATCATTCTCAATATAAGTATTTATAATATTATTGAAATTCAAAACACTATTAAATTGGTATAAAAATAACATTAGAATAACTACGCATAACCTACGTAGGTAATATACTTAATAATATTATATTATCACATTTTTGCAAACACATAGATAATTTACCTACGATTGTAAATCTTACGTCACAATATTATCATCTATGTATAATATAATTATTATGTAAGAACCTAGATTCAGATAAATAGCCTAGAAGTTTTACTATTTTTCTTATTTTATATTATTTTTTTGTGTATACGTGTATACACGAGTATGTCCTCATAGTCCAAGACTATAAATCCATAATGGTTTTAACGATTTGAGTAATTTTTTTTATACAATTAATTTTGTAATAAATTATTTCTATAATTATTGCGGTTGAAAAATTATTATATTATTACTTGATTTTGACTGCAGTATAGACCATTATTTCTCTTGGATATCAGTAAATTGGTTTTGAATTTTTTTGCACTTATATAGGAGTTCATAATAATATTTTGAGTATAAGTATTCTTTATTTGTATTAGTGTTTTTTAAAAGATACTTAAATTAATATATCGGTTTATAAATTTAATATTCCATATAAATTTTAAAAATAAATAAACTATGGTATTTATTTATACAGAATTTAAGTTAATGTTGTTATGAATATTTTCTGTTACTATGGACACAAAAAACGTATGTGTATATATTTCTGGAAATCCCTACAGAAGACTTAAGTCATAATATCCCTGAGACTTNTTTTAAAAAAAAATATTAATAATAATCATTATTTTCCATCAAAATAGAAAAAGATTGAACTATTCAAGATTCGCTCATATGGATCCTAATTTGCATAATAAACATACAAAATAAATGTTCAGGTCCAACACCTGAACATTTATTTTGTAACCAATTTTCAAAATTTTATTTTATTATTAACGTTGAAGTTTCTATTTATGTTGCCTATCCAACTCTTGGAATTGTATTGTTATTTTTAAATTTATTTATTTATTACTCATATAAATTTTGAAATTTTATTGCATTTTTACAGCTGTTCAAAAAAATATATTTATATTGGAGATTAATTTAATAAAAAGACGTCCTAGGATAATGGGAGCGGGTGCAGTCATTTTTCTAGGTAAACAATTATATAGGCTCCATATATTTTCTTTACTTATATTTGTTTAATGTTGTATCGATTTTCCTGGTTTTCCTATGTTTTTCCCGGTTTTCTTATGTTTTTCTTAGTTTTTCTATAAAAACTATGAAGAAAATCGAAAAACGACTACTCTAAATTATCTTCCCAGTGAAATTTCCTTTTAGAAAAATTGATATGATTATAAGTTAGAGTAAAATTTCTGGTAGAAAAAAAAATCGTAATATTATACAAATTTATTTAGTAAATTGTCCTGTTTTCCTCCGCTTTTTTCGGTCTTTCGCATTTGATGAAAAACTCTTGAGAAAATCGAAAAAGAATGAGGAGCTCTATAAATGTGAGATTGAAAACATTAAAATCTGATGAAGTTATTTGAATTTTGATCCAGGGAACAGAGATGTCAAATAAGTAGTGCATAATTCAAATGGGAACAAATTACTGTATTATACTAAGTTATTAATACAGATTTCTTTTAAAATTGTCGGCAAGTACATTTTAAAAACCTAACTTTACGGAAGCTTTATTTCTAACATAATTTATATGATCTTTAAATGAAAGTATGATATCAAATTTTACTCCTAAATCACGTATTGTAGTTGCCTACTCTTAATAGGTTAAAATTTTCTATAATAATAATTTAATTGTATATGAATTTTTTTTAATGAGAAGGTAATAGTGGAACATTTAATTAGATTTAAAAGTATCTATGTATCATTTTTACTACACCATTTAAAAATATTATTTAAATCGATTTGAAGTTTAAATGCATCATTTATATAATTTATATGTAAACTTTAGCATCATCTGCAAATAATACAATTTTCGAATAAGAGATGACACTCGAGATATCGTTTATAGGAGTAACTATAGTCCGGTTAACGAAAAGTGGCGGCTGACCGCCACGATCCAAGCGGACTATTTGTTGTAGTGGTTATCAAACAATATAATTTACCGCGTGTTTTCAAATACGCCTGTATAGTTTATAAAATAAACTATACATATTATATTATAATTATAACTATAATAACCTTAAAATGAAATATTTTCCTTCCAAATTGTATTTAAGTGATAATACGTATCAGGAATTATAATCAGAACACTATGTATCAACGCATTTTACCATCTGATTATTAACTATTCGAATAAAATTTGAACGAAGGTTTTATCTTATATTTGTTTATTATAATTGATAATAATAACAAAACAAATCTAACACGTACAATACAATATAATAGTAGAATAAAAAAATAACTATAAAAGTGAATATTTAATTATAATATGCGCATAACCTACGTAGGTAAATAACATTATATTATTACATTTTTGAAAACACATAGATAATTTACAAACGATTGCAAATCTCATGTCACAATATTATCATCTATGTATAATATAATTATTATATAAGAACCTAGATCTAGATAAATAGCCCGGAAGTTTTACCATTTTTTCATTTTATAATATTAATTTTTTGTTTATACGTGTATACACGAGTATGTCCTCATAGTCCAAGACTATAAATCCATAATGGTTTTAACGATTTGAGTAATTTTTTTTTTATATAATTAACTTAAGAAGTAATGTTGGGTTGGAGAGTAAAAAATGCCTTAGCAAGTAGAGTCTGGAGTTTATTTTTTTGCGCTTGTTCTTAAGATGAAACAACCCGGTTAAACGATTGTCTAGTATTATACCAATAGAAAATTAAATTTAAAATTCACTTTATTTAAGACAATAGTATTTAAAAATTTAGGTAATACATTATTTCTGTATTGCTTTTAATAAAGTATTGCGTTTAATAAGTTATTATATTATTACTTGATTTTGACTGCAGTATAGACCATTATTTCCTTTGGATGTCAGTAAATTGGTTTTGAATTTTTTCGCACTTATAAAGGAGTTCATAATAATATTTTGAGTATAGGTATTTTTTATTTGTATTAGTGTTTTATAAGAAATACCTAAATAAATATATCGGTTTAAAAGTTCAATATATAATTTAAATTTTAAAAATTAATGATCTGTGGTATTTATTTATACTGAGCTAATGATGTTATGAATATTTTCTGTAGCTATAGATACAAAACGTATGTGTTTTTATAATGATATTTATATTATTTATTATGTATAGTATACGTTGTATATAATATAGACTATAAAAACATGATCGAATAGCTCAATATTAATTTTTAATTACGATTTTGATTTTAAAAAACCTAAATCAGTTACCTAAATCAAATAAATAAACTAAAATTTTCATTTAAAAAACAATTACTGCTACCTATCAAAAACTTTATTTCTGTTCATACCCTTCAATAGTGTACAGGTGTATTTATTCGAGGAGGTGAATACAAACAATAGTTCATTCACAGACTCGTGGAAGACTACACCCTCTTCCCGATTTGTGCATTTCGATTGTATATACCCACCTTTCCATAGTTTTCGTGTTTTAGGTACACAATCCACTCCACCACTCATATAATACCGTTCATTGCCTATACAATTAATACAATACAAGACAGTGTAGTATGTTTTATTAGCACAAATTATATTAAGTAATCTCAATGTTATATAATATTATAATATGTTATAATATTGATTTACGTGATCATCACCGTCACTGTACTGTTTTACTGCCTTCGTATAATATATACCTATTTATATTTATTTATTTAATTTATATAGAGAAAACTCCATCTACAGTCTTCTAAGCTAATATAAGTTGAAATGATATCAGACATAAAGGTTTTAAGTTTTTGTTGACCAAAACGGAGGTATTCAAGTGTAAAAAATTGTCACTCCCCCCCCCTCCACCATGGAATTAACTCTAAGACGCCCTTGAACAATATTATTAACCGTGTTCCTCTCATATCTAATTTATTTAGTTATAGATATACATTAAATTTCCCTCAATATCCTACCTTCTTAACATCTCATTTATAACAATAGTCCACCAATCGTGCGAAGTATGTCCGTATTTTCTTACCAACCATTAATATTAAATTTAATTATTTCACAGCCAACAGCTACCTCTTCCCCCTCCCCCCATAGTCAAGGTCTGGAGACGCCCCTGTAATAACAATAATACAAATTAATGCATCGTTTTAGAATAGTTTAGTTATGTCAAAAAGCGATGAATGAAAAAATAAATGATTTATTAGCAGTAGACATTAAAATATGAGCAGGATAAAGAAATATATTTTTTGAACTATTATGTAAATCATGTCCACATGTACTTTGTTGACTCCGGACTGGCAAACGATAACATAGCTCGGGACAAATTGTGGTCGACCCTTGAGGAATTTGGAATCTCCAAAAAACTTATTCATCTCATAAAAGAGTATAATGTGCAAACAGTGAGCAAATTTAAGTTTGGCAACGGAACTTCACAGAATTTCGAGGTTAAAACCGGCCTTAAACAGAGTGATGCGTTGTTACCAATACTTTTTAATTTAGCACTTACGAAGGTAATCAGGTCAATGCCGATGCAACAAGGCATGGAAATTTTGTCCAATAGTACTCATCTTATTTATGCTGATGATTCAGTTATAATAGGCAATACGTGACAAGAAATAGCGACAAGAACTAATGATTTTATTAAAGCAGCGAATGATGATTTAGGAAAACTGTTCAGATCAAAACTTTTCTCTAGACAATCAAAGGAATGCCTAAAATCAAATTTCATACGACTAGTTTTAACATACGCGTGTGAAAAATGGCTTGTTTTGAAAGAAGGATTTACGGACTTATCTTGGAAAATGAAGTTTATAGAAGAAGAAACAATAGGAAATTGCAGCCAATCTACCAAAACCCAAGTATCAATGCGTATCTTATAAGTAAGCAAATTGAGTTGGCAGGCCATGTATAGAGGTCAAATGGTATTTTAAGGGAGGTCCTGGAAAGAAAGATGAATAGGAAAAGATCCAGGGGTTACCCTAGGCAGTGCTGAGCAGACAGGGTCAATGATGATCTAATCAAGTGCACTCAAGGTGTGACAATAGCAGACAGCATTCTATAATTCTATTGAAAGGGTATTGCTTTTACTAAGATTACTTCAGTGTTAAGATAAAATGTATTTATAGACCGGGTATTACGAGTAGGGGTAATGGCAGGAGAAACGATTTAGGAGCTCAGGACAATCAATTTTTCCTGTGAACAGCTTATACGCAAAGTATAAATCTAATCGCAAACGGCGTTGTTCAAGTGCTATGAGAGAAAGAAACGACAATATTGGGGTGTTTGAAGAATGCGGTTCTCTGGTTATTGAACATTTAAATGAGAGGAACTGAAGAACTTTTGCTGAATTTTTCAATTTTAAATTTATAACCCGATTTGTAAGGAGACCATATTTTTGAGCCGTGTTCGAAAATAGAACATAACAAACAGCAGTAAATGGACTTTAAAGCTAATAAATCATTAAAATCAGCACATTTTCAACGAATAAAACCAAGGATTTTGTTTGATTTGTTTACAATGTCGTTAATATGACATTTTAATTTAACTTTTGGATCAAAAAAAATACAAAGATCTTCGGTAGGCCTCATAGTGCGATGCAATTTTTGATGATGTGTTACGGTTTGGCAGTTCAAAAACTGATCTCAATTATTTTACAAATTCTTTAAAACCTGAGTCTTCAACAATTTTTAACGGTTAGAAATACTTTTATAAAAAGTTTTAAAAGTAATCGATTTAATTATTTTTTACCATCTAATGATATTTTTTTAGGTAAATAACTTGAAACTGTTAATTGTTTATGTTTACGGACATTTTAAGCTAGTATTGAGGCGAGAGCATTTGATGAAGACGATATGAAACTTTGCGTAGTTACATTAGACAGTGGTGTAAATTCTATTGGTTTTGATAGTAATATTATGGAAGAACTTAGTGTGACTAGTGCATGATTATCAGTTTTTGTTCATTTTCATAACAATTCTAGGGTAATATTATTATTTTTATCATTGAGTATTATTAAGTTATTATTCAAATAATATGCTTTAAGCATTATATCTATTAAAAAATATATTTTATCGTATTAAGCACTTACTTTCGAAGAATATTTACACAGTTCGATTCCATGACAACTACATAAGTGTTTTTTAAGTCAGTCAACAAATAAGAATATCTTTTTAAATTTGGAAATATTATATGTTTGGTCAACAATTGTAAAATATTCCCAAATAGTACTTGTATGTTTTTCCATTTTTTAGTTTTTATTATAAATAAACATAGTATTTAAAAAAAAAAATAGTTTTTCACTTTTACAGACTTACAGACTTCACAAACCAATTTAATCAACAGATAATAACAATTAGCAGTATAGTGCGAAAATCAGAAAGAATTATATACCTTTAATAAATAGAGTCTAATATCTAAAGATTTTACTGTATGATATACCATATTATTTAACCCATTGCAGATTTTATCTATATATAACCTTTTAATAAAATCCCATGGTTAGAAAAATCAAAAAATACCTATTTAAATCATTATTTATAGCTACTGTAAATAAAATATCAATCAAAATTAAGATACTTGAACAAAACTACTTTGAAACTATAACAAATATTGTTATATTATTTAAGAGGCAATTTAATTAAGAAAAAGTAGAAATTAAGGTATACACATTTTCAATACTCAATATATTTTTTATTTATTAATAAATAACTATTATAAGTACTACAAGTACAACCTAATAATATATTATACGCATTTGTGTATATAATTATATAAATATTAAACTAAATCATTCAAATAATAAAAATTCGTAGTATATTTTATTTTTTATGACTAATGGACAAAAACGTATTAGCCGATACCACCAGTTAGTAACATATTAACAATTGGTTCTTTGGATTGAAAAAATAACAGCAATGACACTGTTGTGCCTATATGAGTTGTTGTGCTCGTACGGGTTGTTTTATTTGTTCGGTAGTGTGAGGATCCAATTTTAAGAGAAGGAACAACGAAACAGTTCTAAGGATTTTTAGTTACTAATATAATTTAATGTGAGTCAAACTATATAATTAAAGAGTAATTTATTATAATAGTCGTTGAGACGACGTACAGTTTTAAAAGTGGTAGCTCGACTGACTGCGCGGCTCTCTCGCGGGTGCCGTATGGATACAATATTCTCGGAGCCGCCTACACACTAGGCGTTATCGATAGACTACAATAATATACTCTTATGCTCTAATACAAAGAGCTTATACTACTAAACTATATACTATAGCAATATGCTCATAACAACACTGTAACAGTTTTTTGTAACAATTGATAACAGTTAAGCACCACTATCGGTAAACGAGTCGGGCGCGGAACGGCGATGACGACTCTCACTCGCGACAAGAGCGGCGTCCGTCGCCACGAACGCACGTTATCATAATTTTGGTAACAACATAGATGTAATCTATGGTAAAGAAATAATTCTAGTCGGCGCCACGAATTAAGGTTTACGGATGGAAATATATAGAAATTATTAAATAAGTTGTATCTTAATCCGCGGTCGGCGCGGTATAGTACCGTTTCCCCGCCCCCCTCCGCCACGGTTCACGCCACACTGTTCGTGTCGTCGGCGGCCGCGGCAGTGGTGGGGACTGCGTCTGCGCTCTCCGCGATACCACTCGCCATTTCATTCGCTCGGGACCACGGTACGCCCATGTCGCTGCGCTCGTCCGTTTTGCCTGTATTTTTTTCGTAGTTCTTCGCAGTTTTCTGCAACGTCAATTAATTTTGTGTCGATAATAACGTTTACAGGCGGCGTCTCGGCGGTAAATTTGTCTCGGTTGACACGCCGAACTAAGTAAATACTATTCACGTGGGTTTTCCCTCGTGTACCTCATTCGTCCCGGCCGGCGCGCACGTAGTTTGTTTTTTTGTCACAATTGTACGTTGGCGCGACCGACGTTGACGTTTATATTTCCGTATCTTTTGTTGATACATTTTGTCGGCGCAATGTTTGCTTGGTAATTGTCCGTGGCCCGTTAACGAACGAAGCCCGGCCACTTCTCCGGTCGGTGACCCTAAAGCGGTCCTGCGAAACCGGCGCGAGGTTGCCTGTGATGCACCTATACGATATCATGTTCGTACGTAAGTCGTCATTCGATACTTGTCCGTAACGGATAATAGTATAAATCTTATCGAATAGCTGAAAAATAGTATTTATTGCAGCGGGCGCACATATTTTTTCCTTTTTTTTGTATTTGTGCTATCGGTCGCGTTTATTCTATTTCCGTGTGTTTTTCGATAAGTACGACGCCGGATATATTGCCGGCGTAAGTTTTGCGTGACCTGTCTGCGTACGGGCCCGGCTCCTGCCTCTGTCAGTGTAGTTCACGGAGTGTCGCTGAAAAACGACGTAACTACCTAATAGTATTTGTGTTATTAAAAAAAAAAAAAAAAATTGAAATTATGTGGTAGGTACGATCACGGGAACACAGTTACACGACGATGTACCTAATATTTGTATTAAAAAAAAAATATACAAATTATATGGTACAACCATGTTTGTATGTGGTTACCAAATGGTGTCGGATTACCTGCAGGAGGCCGTGTATAATGCTATTATAATAATATTATAATGCTACACAGTATTTTGTTTAAAAAAAATAACAACAATCGTGCGTCCGAAAAATCTACGCACCTACCTAATAATATTTGTAATGAAAAAAAACAAAAATTATATGATGGTAAGTATAAATTAATTTGTTTTCATAAGAGGTAAAATATACTTGTTTTTTAAGGGATACAAAATATATTTTATTTACTTCGTTAGTGTGGTGTGTATCTCTGAATACATATACAACTGCGTTCACTACGCTTATTGATGTGGGGCATGACAGATGTGCTGCATTCCTCCACCAGTACTAGGAAGACGTGAGGACCATCTATATAAACTCTGTTGGCTGATGGCATAATAATAATTTATTAAATAGTTCTCCAATAAGTAGTGTTTACAAAGTATTATAATAAACATATTACTTTTGAATCACCTCCTAAGCCAAAGGTTGTGCTAGAAGTGAGAGTTCATACAATTACAATATTAAATAAACATAACATGAAAAAAAATAAAAAATAATATTCAAATTATTAATATCTTTAATAAATTGTGTGTTATAATTATTATGAGTGGAATTAATTGTTTTAATATATTTAAAAACAACAGTATAGACATGCATTATATAAAAAGACTTAATAATTTATAATTTTACAATTGTACAAAAAAATTGTTAAGAAGAGACTCAGCTTATTGAATACGAGTATATATTTTACAAGAGAATTTAACGTTTTATGTAATTATTTAGTATGAGTATCAGATGTATTTCTCCAAAAAGCAATACCATAGGACACATAATTGTACTAGAGATTTATGTACAGTTGTTTTAACGTTAACAGTTAAGATATTTTTCTAAAATTTTATTCTAAACTTTATTAGTTAAAGGTCAGTATTAATGAACAGTAATGGAATAATAATGAACATTTTATTGGTTATTTCTTATCTGTTTTAATATGATGAATTATCTATAAAACCAGGGTAAAGAAACAAAAGCTCCTAAAATAGAATTATAATATTCTAGTTGCTACAGTTTTCGTTGGTTATCTAATTTGAATTTAGTAGTAACTCGAATGTACAAAAATCCTAATTTTAGCCAATATACATAATACCGTTTTACAATGTCTGGGTTTAGTTGAGATAATGTTCTCGTAATTAATAGAATAAAATATATGCTAACATGTGGCAGTACTAATTCAAAACCGAAAAAAGTGAGTTACAAAACTCTTCTTCATGGGCCTAGATTTAATCGTATTGGACCACATTTTGTGTTCCCAGGACAAAATACAAATACAATTCTCCATTTTTGATTGTAATTTTTGTCTTTTTCTAAGATATTTATGTAAACCATTAAATGTCTTAAACATGGTTCATTTCCATATTGTTTATAACCTTTGTTTTTTATTAGAGCTGCTAGGAAAATACTTGGAAAATATGAAACTGTTTTTTCTATTGAATAATCACAATTCAATAATGTCTATCGCATTGTTATCAATGTTTATTTATTATATGTTTTATTATTGTAATTATGTTTTTCACTTACTACAACTTTTTTTTTTGGATAGTTGCTGCTACAATTTCTTTTAAAACTAATGACACAATTTTTTCGTTCCATATTTTTAAACTCCAACAATTTTCAACCAGTCATCTAAGTCTTCAGACATCAAAAATACAGATTTTGAACCCTGTTTTCTACAAGTAGAAACCTCCACCCTTCTGTACACAAGTTTTAGTGTTATTGCATCAACAAACTCCTCTGGCTCAACCTTCCGGTGTATCAAGTGACTGTTTTTCAAAGTGCCATAATAGAAAATATAGTGGTAGTAAATGAATGTCAAGAACTACCTGCAATTTAGATGGACAAACTATGTTAAGTTTAAAAATGGCGTAGATAATCAAAAAGATAAAGATTTTTCATGTATTGCCCCCTGTTCTCGAGTGTTGATAAAAAAATGCTATTTTTTATTTATTTTTTTACTATTTAATTATTTAAATAATTAATAAATGTTTTCTAACTTTGACACAAATTTTCTTGCTATAAATATAGAATAGGATATCTTCTCTGACAAGCCTGTTGTTTTTATAATTTTTATAATTAAAACGTTTGAACTAAATTTTAAGTTGAGTGACTTCCACGCGGTTGTAGTGAAACTAAAAACTGTGCAGTTGTTAGTTTGTCTACACACGCATTGTTTTATGTGCACAGTTTAATTGCCATAGTTTTATCAATTGGTATTTTCAATTTATTACCGATCAACTGCATAGTTCTAAAAATTACGTCGCATTAACCTACACACGTACGATTTATCTGCACAGGTAAATCTGTTCAATCGAATCGCACAGTTTTAACTG